AGATGACCTGGAGAAGATACACCTGAGCTTTCCGTCCCTCTTCATCAGCTCCAGGTCACTGAGAGTTTCCTGTTGGTGAGCTTCTATCTTCTGGGTTCTGTTCCCATCAGGTTCCATGTGAAGCCCTGTGTCACCTGTGAGGGTTGTGTTCTCCCCAGGGGGCACCAGCAAGACTGTGCTCCACCTCTTACCTCCCACCTTCTTTCAGGGAATTGTCCCCTCTTACCTGCCAGCAGGATCCCCTGCCAGGGGATGCAACCTCTGCAGGGACAGGCTGAGGGGGGCTGCATGGTCCCTGCTGCTGCCCTGTCCCCCTCTGTGGAAGGAGCTTCGGCTGCACACCTGAGGTGCTCCTTCCTCAGAGACCTTAGCCAGTGCTCAGGGCCCCAGTGAGTTGTGTACGGTGCCCCACAAGGTGGCCCTGATCCTCTGCAGAGTTTGGGTGTCATCATTCAGATGACAATGTAAAGAAAGTGCAGCCCCTCCTTCTGACCTCAGATCACCCAGAGTGACCCCTGAGGGTCCCTGGACATCTCTATAGGATCTGTCCAGCAAGCTCATCCTCAGGTGGAACAATTTTTCCATTCACTCTTATGCAACCTCTTTCTAGTACTTTCTGTGCCTCTAGAAGGTCAGGCTCTCAGGCAGGAAGTAGCTTTACATTCAGAGGCAAAGCGTATAGTTTTCATTAAATAATATTCTTTTCCCTGTGACTTTTATCCATTTTGTATACCACTGATAAAGAAATCCCCCAAGTAAGATGTAGGGGGCAGAGGGTCACTCACGGATCACAGTCATCGTGATGGGGTTGCTCTTTAGGGAAGAGATTGGGTTGGAGACTTGACAATGATACTCTCCCTCATCCATCTTCTGGACTGGGTTTATGGTCAGGATGCTGTTGTTTGATGACATCTGCATCCTGTCTGTGAGTTGCAGGATCTTGTTATTGAAGAGCCACTGGATGGAGATTTCAGTGTCATTTGGGACGCAGGTCAGCTGCACAGACTCCCCTTCTGCCATCCTGGTGTTGCTGGCTGTGAGGTGGGGCGGTGTCAATGGTTCTGTGGACAAAAAGGAGGGGACAACTGAGGTGGTCCTTCCTCAGAGAACTTAGCCAGTGCTCAGAGCCCACTGTGAGTTGTGTAAGGTGGCCCAGAAGGTGGCCCTGACCCTCTGCAGAGTTTGGGTGTCATCGTTCAGGTGACAATGTAAGGAAAGTGCAGCCCCTCCTTCAACCTCAGATCACCCAGGTGGCCCCTGAGGGTCCCTGGACATCTCTATAGGATCTGTCCAGCAAGCTCATCCTCAGGTGGAACAATTTTTCCATCCACTCTCGAACAACCTCTTTCTAGTACTTTCTGTGCCTCTAGAAGGTAGGGCTCTCAGGCAGGAAGTAGCTTTACATTCAGAGGCAAAGTGTATAGTTTTCATTAAATATTTTGTCAGGGAATTAAGATGGTCCAGCCTGTCTTAATGACCTTAGTGTCTGGAGAAATTCCAATCTACAGGATTTGTCAGTTTTAGAGGACTGTTGAGAGCCACAGCCAAAGGGGCCCCAGCAAACTTCCAGGTACCAGCAAACTTCCAGCTGCATCTAGCTGATTGGCTCCTCTGCGGTGATGCTCATTGGGCTGTTACCCTGCCTTTCAGACTGCCAGCTGATGATTGGCTCACAGCGGCCCCAGC